AGACAAGGCGACTCCGGAGTGGGAGGCGGTCGCGGGCTGACGGACGGTGGAGGAAGCGCAGGCCCGGTTAGCCCGCGTGAAGGAATATCTCAATTCGGGAGAAAAGAGGCTTATGGATAGTGTCGATCAGGCGCGATCGTCGCCCAAGCCATCCTCAGGGCGCGCTCTTCAGAATGGCCTCCACCTGACAAAGGACGGTGGGTCGAGCTGGGCGGCTACGGTGAAGCCTGGGGCTAATAGCACTTGTGGGAGATAGTACACGAGAAGATGTCCATAGGAACAACGAACGAGATGGAAATGGACGTCCTATCTTGCTATATATCAACGCGAGGGTCGGGAAACTGGAAGTGGGCCCGCATGTCGGAGGCGCGGCACACGGCTCAAGTCATGACAGCCATTTTCACACCTGTTATGGCCGCTGCCATAACCTTGTTTGTTTGTGTATGGGTGGGGCCAAAAAAGCGAAGTCTTGTTTGTCTCTTCGTTCCTTTAAACTCCCTCGCCGAAAGGGGCAGGGGCTGGCGAGAACTGGCAGAACAGCAAGAAAGAAAGTCGGGGACGCGAGCGAGGCAGCGGTAGAGGCGCGCGCTCGACGCTCCGACTTTCGCGAGAGATGACTGGCTCTTCCAGCGACGCAAAGCTGCCGTACAGCCTGGACAAGCTCTCTTGGGACTCTGCGCACCACTTCAACACGCAAAACAAATACGGCTACGCGGGTAAGGGTCGGAAGCTCGGCGACGCGATGCTGCAGTGCGAGACGTGCCTGCAGTGGTTCCACGCGCGAGAGGTGTCGTGCCTGACCGACGCAGACGTCTTCGTGCCCTTCCAGCGCAACTACCGCTTCGCCTGCCGCATCTGTGCCGGCGGGCGCGAGCAATTCGAGCCGCTCACCAACCCGTGGTCATGGATCGTCGTTACGGCGGTGCAGAACCTGCAGCTGCCGCTCGAGGCGAAGAACGCGGAGGTGGTGGAATGCACGAGCAAACTGCCCGAAACGCGCAAGTGGGTGCCGGTCGCGGAGATCGTTCAGTGGATCCGCAACCACTGGGGATCGCTCTGCCACGGCCGCGCGCAGGCGCAGCTCGACGACGCCGGCGCGGTCCAAAAGGCGATCGCGCACAGCGAGGGGGTGCTGCACGCGTCGAGCGACAAGAGCGAGGTGTCGCTCAAGTCGCTGCACCCACTCAAGCTCTACCTCAAGCCCTTCAAGAACATGCCCGCCCCCTCCTCCGCCGCCGCGCCGCCCGCAAAGCCGCGCAAGGATCGCGCCGGCAACAAGAAGAAGGGCTCCAACGCGCCCCTCAAGAGGCCGGCGCCGGAGCAGCCGTCGACCAACCTGTCCGAGATCAAGCTGCCCGAGAAGTATCGACTAGTGCCTGCGCCCAAGACGGACGCGGTGCCCCAGGACGCCGCCGTCATCCAGCTCTCGCGCTCCTCGCGCGCGCCGCAAGTCACGCTGCGGGAGGACATGCTCACCGCTGTCGGCTTCAAGGGGTACCGGATGGTGCGCGCGACGCACGGCGTGCGGTCGGGGTCGTGGTACTTCGAGGTGCGCGTCGGGCAGACGCTCAACGACGAGGACGGCCACACCCGCCTCGGCTGGTGCACCGAGATGGGCGAGCTACAGGCGCCGGTCGGCTTCGACGCAAACTCGTACAGCTACCGAGACAGGGGGGGCACAAAGTTCCACGAGTCGGTGGGGGAGGGGTACGGCGAGGAGTACGGGCCGGGCGACGTGATCGGCTGCCACCTGCAGATGGGCGACCCGCCCGGCTCGGTCGCCAAGCGGCAGCGCATCTTCATCAAGGGGCAGGCGAGCGATGCTTCCGAGACGCCCCCCACAGACAGTCGCCAGGCGCTTCCTCTCGTCACCTCGCGGCATTACGGCGTCTCAGGGGGAGGGGGGGGGGGGGGGGGCAGGGAAAAGGGGGGGGGGGGGCTAAAAAAAAACGGGGGGTAACCCCCCAAGGGAAGAGGGGCAGGGACGGGGTGCCAAAGGGGCCCCCCTCCTGCCCGGGGCAGGAGTTCATCCTCAAAAAAAAACTATAATTTTAATTAAAACTAGCCCTATTTAAAAATAAGAAGTTCATCCTCAAAAAGGAACGAACGCGGGGGCCTTCGGGGGGCTCAAGAATTTCCTTTTTAAAAAAAGGGGTCCCCAAAGGGGGGGCCAACTCTGAAGCCCACCCGGGGCACGAGAAGGGGCGGGAAGGGGTCGGGACCAAAAATAAAAAGCCCCGGGGTATGAAAGGGGGGGGCCAAGGAGTACTACCCGGCCGCCTCCCTGTAAAAGGGGGCCGTCCAAACCTTAAATTTTGGCCCCACCTTCA